AAAAATTAAACTGCTCAATCTCATTATTTCATATACGCCGTCATATCACCGATATTTTATCATCGTAATAATAAATAACATTATTCTTAGTAGAAGTATGTAAATTATACATAATATCGCACATATACCGTTCCTTTAACCGTGTGTTTCTAAGCAACATGTCAATAGCACGTTTGGCTAAGCAAATTTTCGGGCAAAGTATACTGATAAAAATATTAAATCAAATTAAAATAAATTAAAGTTGAATCTTGAACATGAATAAAAAATGTAAAACCTTTACTCACACACGCACCCTTTTTTTTTCAATGCTAACAATTACCTGTAAAGTCCCAAAAAAAGTCCAAAAGGGCTCGGCAACACGTTTTTCAATGAGCCATCAGTTGTTCGACGCGAGTTAGTAAGAAAACGGACACGGAGTAGAGCAAATACTGTACGTAAAATCCCGCAAAAACAGCAAATATTTGGGGAGAAAGAAAACTAAAACAAACCCACCTCTGAAGATCTAAACGACGATAAACCCTTTTGTTTTGTCATGTTCAATTGAAAGATTCATCATCAACCAACGTGAATAGTTTCACTTTTTCGTAAAGGGTCTTACCATATTAAATTTAGTAAGTTTTTCATTTTTATCTGATTTATTTAGCTAATTTGTCAATTTTTATTTCTCTCTTTTCTAAAACTACTAAGCAATTTATGTTGACAACATTTTTGGGTAATTTATCTTGCATTTATTGGGGCTGTGAGATGCTTAATCAATTGATAACTGCTGTAAATTAACTTATTGTTTCTTGAATTAGACAAAAACCAAATGCAAAGGAAAAATTCTGAAGACTTTTCGATCTCAAAATGCAATTGAGCTCGGTGAAGCCTTCTTGCAATATTTGTGAGATGGGTAGTGTGAGAGTGATTCTTGAAGATTGAAGAACTTCAAAGAGTGGACGAATTTTAAGAAGTGAGATAGTGAATGATCTCATTAGAAATTGCATTTAAATTATTTGGTAATTAGCCTCAGCCATCAATTATAAAATATCGCATCTTTAAAGTAAATCATATAATGTTAGTAATTTGACAGTATACATAATCGCACGTGGATGTACATCAATGCGTGTATAAGTATGCATAGGTCCATATGTACCAAATAAAGGAATCCATGGCCACTTTACTAGGATACGTGAGCATGTAATCTATGCCTGATTTACACCTGAAAAATAGAGCAAAAGAGTAAAAGTCTTCATGTTAGGAAGATTCTTAGGCTGAAACCCTTTTATGGTTGCATCTGATGTGTGCAGATTTTTATGCCCACAAGTAATTACTTATTGGAGAAAGTGAGGTATACCCTTGTGTGATTGTCAGATACTGAATCATGGCATTTTTGGCAGTGGACTCACATTCTGGAGCTATTACAGTGGACAGTTTCGCCGAAAGGGAATCCATTGCATCAGAAGAAAATTCTGTTCAAGAACCATGTATAGGTATGGAATTTGACTCTGAAGATGCAGCCAAGGAATTTTATGATGAGTATGCTAGGCATTTGGGTTTTATAATGCGTATTGATCAGTGCCGGCGTTCAGAGGTGGATAAGAGAATTCTTTCCCGGAGATTATCTTGTAATAAGCAGGGCTATAATGCCAAACTGAGAGACCAATATGGACCTGTTAAAAAGCCACGTGGTAGCTCTCGAGAGGGTTGCAAGGCAATGATGTTGGTAAAGGTTGACAAGGCTGGCAAGTGGGTTGTTTCAAGATTTGTAAAGGAACATACTCATCCACTTGTTGTCTCTGGTCGTCCATCTCGTAATCAAATGGTGAGTTGCCATTTTTGTAGAGGTCAAACCACCAAGTCAAGGATATTTTATTTGCCGACTGTAATTAGTATAAATGTATCGATACAGTTTCTTTCTAATGTGTGTTGCTAAGATGATACAAGCATGTCTTGATGATTGTTAGGGAAGCTTGTTTGATATCACAAGTTAAATGTTTAAACTTTAGATTATACATCATTTCACTTGATTTTTGCATGCCTATAGGAAAAGTATTGTAGTACCTACTATCATGCCTTTGTCTCATAACTATAGGGATTTAATAATGTCTCCAAATTGTTTTTGACATACACGTGCTTCTCTGTTTACCACATTATACTTTTTATCTTTATTTTGTTTCTTCTTTCCTCATTTCCTGTATTTACTTCCTGTTCTTTGCACTTCTTTCTCACTTTCAAAGGCAGCATTTTGCTGTGCAGAAATTTTGGCTGATGACGACCGCTCTGTAATAGCTTAGGGAGGTCTCGTAGTACTGCATAAAGATGAAATTACCTTGTACACTTATCATCTTAATATTGAATTCCTGGAATTATCTCTTCAATGCACTTGGCTATTCATCTTAGAAAATGGATGTGGAGATATCGACTTGGAATCAGATCTAGTTTAGTTCACCCATATCATGAAGTATGTCAGTCAAGCCTCTACCTAGTTGGGGCCTGGGGGTGAAGGTAAGCTGAACTGATGAGTTTTGGGAAGATAGGCTCCATATCATATCTTCCAGATTTGACTCGCTCATAATGTAGGCTCCTTTGCAATTTGAAAACAAGCAAAAAACTCAGAGTCCAAGCTAGTTCATGTGCTGTTGGGACTCCTTTACCATTGTAAAAACAAGCATAAAATCGCTGAGTCTAACCGTGTTGCTGGGTGTGTGAAAGTATACTATTGTAAATGAAGAATCTATCCTTTAACACTGAACTTGTTCACTTGGATTGTAATTGAAACATACTTAATGGTCTAAAATATCTGATACATGATCTTCATGAAAACTATAATTCTTGGAAACCTATAAGTGGTTCTGCACTGTGGTTAGTACGGAAATTCGTCCTAGCTCACCTTTGGCTATCTTGTTTTGAAGTTCTCTTTCATTCTCTGTTGCGTTCTCGCTGATAAAATGACTCCGGGAGGGGGCATCATTTTAGTCTTAGACAATGAGGGGAATATGTCAAGTTTCAGAACCACAGGGTAGTCACATGTGCCATCTTGAAGATGCCTTAATTAAGTCAAGGTTTCACGTGTCACACATTAATGTATTTCCTCTTCATTTTGGAATTGGCGAGTTTTGTACAGCATGCATCCCCATTTCAATTTTTGCCTTGGAAATCTTATTTTTTTTATGCAATTTTCGTGATGATTGGGGATTTCCTTCTGTAGGATCACAAGGACAGGAGAATACAAGTATTAACATTGGAGCTGGAACACCAGGATAAGTTATGTGCTCTTTACCGAGAGCAGCTACTTACACTATTGAAAAATGTTGAGGTGCAAACAGAACTTCTCTCGTCAAAAATCCAAGAAGTTGTTGGCAATGTAAGAGAATTTGAAACAGAAGTACAAAAGTCATCAAATTGTTCATAGCCCATGTAAAGTTTCAGCATGTACAAAATTTATTTCCGGTAATGCCAATTAATTTTAGGTCTTATTTTCATTAAGCAACACATTAATTTTTTAAAGATTAAAATATTGCCAATAAATCTTTGTAGGCATTGTTGTTCTCCAGAATTCTTGTGTGTTTGACCTTTTTTGTCCCCTGTGAAGTGCACCGGCCGTTGTATTAAGCAAATAAGTTCTGCTAGTTGAGATATACCAGGCATGAAGCAGCAGAAATTAGAGAGGTAAACTTTTTGTTGTAAAGTTGCCAAAAATTACAAGGGTGGATAGTTCATTTGTTCTCGATAACAACTGATTCACAAGAAATGATCTTGAGGATTTTATTTTAATAGTCTTATATAAATGATCCAGTGGAAAAAGAACGTTATGTGCATTCAAGTTCTATGCATTTTTCCTCTTCTGTATAAATGACAGACTGGAAATAGGGTTGAAATATTCCAGATGAGATCATGTAAATATTCTCTCAGAACATTTCATTCCATCGATGGAATTTTTGTTGGATCTTGTTTCTGTATATGCAAGTGTTGAAGATTGTGTGTGTTTTTTTTTTTTGGAACTGTTGCTCAGATCAGAAGAGAGTCGAGGCATGTTTACTATGTTCAAAGCAATTTTACAAGAACCGGACCGAACCATCTTCCATAGGACCGGGTTGGAAGTGATCCGTTTCTATGAATTGAGTCTGTCAATTTTTTTATAGCCTATGGACTTGTAGAGAATATTAATATAAATTTTGCTATCAATGAGCATTTGCACAAGCACGTTTCCCTTCTAAATTTCTTTATGTATTTCTTATACTATTTATGCTCCATGACTTTCGACAAAAGTTTCTTTTTCTATCAATGAATACAATGAACAAAATTTTAATTTCTAATAATATTGTCAAGTGTTATCTAATTCGTTTTACTAACATGTCAAAAGTAAATGACGATAGCATTCTTTGAAGCTGGATAAATCTCGGCATGGTATGCAGTGTGCTGGTTTTGCGTTATCAAACACTATGGTCGGATAAACTTTGTAACGCATCTTTCTTCTTTCTTCACGTCCAATCTTATTTACCAATCGTCATAGCAGCAGTCGATTAGTTGGAAATGTTAATGAAAACACTGCTGCTGCTACAAATCATGGCAAAAAAGGGAAAAATCACATTCAGTACCATAAAAATTCAAACAAAAATCTAAATAAAGCTGGTAAGTATAAGACAAAAAGTTTCAAGGAAGAAACGGAACGGACAAGCATGAACAAGGTTATCTGTTTTTCAATGTCCCCTCAGCTAGTGACATGTTGATGTGCATCAACATGAAAATTCACACTCTCTCCATAAATTCTGTTTATCCTTCTCTTTCCTTATCCCTCTATTATACATCTATTCTACCATTTCTTAGTCAATAATTCTTCATAATGATTTACATACACGATATGCCTTAGGAATTCCGCTTGATCGAACAACGAATAGAACGAAAGTGATGAAAAGGAATTCACTCTGCCGACCCCAACGGCTTAACTTGCTGTCAAACACGATATCTTATATAACATTCCAAATATCCTAATAAAAGATGGTCAATTACATGAAAGATCATTTCTTGATGTTCTTGCCTTTTCCATTGCGAAACAATGTCCCCAAACCAAAGAGATTACCAGTATTCACAGAAATAATACAAGGAGGTGGTCCATTCAATACTGGACTAATCTGAACACCAGTACCATAAGGCCCTCTAGGATTTTTCCATAATGGCGGCTTTTGTGAACAAACCTTCGCAGAAGAATTCTTGGACAGCTTCTTCGAATTGGGCACAGAGCCTGTTGAATTACTACGCGATATCGAAGACCAAATTGAACTTTTCTTGGAATTATGATCACAATGAAGGCTACTACTTCTCTTCAAATGCCAGAAAGGTGCCTTTGATTGATGCTTTTGATCAATGCTTTCCTGCTTTAAATTCTGATTCGTTGGAGGAAGTGGCAGTGGAGGCTTAGACGTCGAAAGCTGTTTCGATTTAACAAACTTTTCTTGAAGTTGAAGAGGTAGAATTAGGCCATCTGAAAACAGCTCATCAGCCAAACAAGTTCCGTTACTGGTAATACAGAAATCAAAATCAGAAGCTGAGTCAAACTGTGCAGAATCTGAGCGATATGGAGTGTCTTTAAACATTGCAACCTCATCAGAAAATGAGATTCTTGGACTTGGATTATCTGTGATGATCATACGATCAACGGCCATGGTTTCCATCAAATCCATTATTCAAGATCAAGATTATGGTTGTTGTAGAGATGGTATAAGAAGATCAAATATGGTGTTTGTAGACCGGCATTGATGAAGTTGACAAGATGGTTTCACTGGTCATTTACTTTAGAAAGCTATATTTTGAATGACAATTTTGACTTCTTTTGGAGTATGTTTTCCACAGGTAACAAACAAGTTGAAAGACGAAGGAAGCAGATTTTTTAATTATTTTGGGAGAGGAATTTAAGGAAGGTGGAGTCGTTGGGACTCAAGGTGCAAAAGCTTTGTCACAATTTCCTTCTTACAACGGCAAAAGAAAAAGTTGGAATATCCATAGACATTCAACGGAAGAAGAGTTCAAAAGCTTTGTCATAATGTTTTGTTCAACCTAGTGATGAAACTAGAACGGAATTTTAAATTTAAAGCTGTGTTATACATGAAATTTTAGGGTGGATAGAGTTTTTTTATTTTTGAGCTAATTTATGATGCAGAAAAAATATATGCTAATTTTTGATGAACTAAAACGGTAAAAAAAAAAAAAAATTGTGCTCGAACTATTAGCGCAATTTGTTAGAATAATGATACCGAACCTCGGTGCATGAACGCCGATCATGTTCTTCTACTTCGACTCGTGTTTAATCATCACTAGGGCTAGATAATATTATTTAGCTCGCGTAATGTGGCAATTTCTTTAAAAAAAATTCACTTTTTTTGGATTGTGCGTGGGTCCCATTTATCAATAAAATTTATTATGCTATTCAAAAATTATGCCACTTCTCAGACACACAGAAATATCTTAAATGACCTTGAAGGCTTGAACAAACCTCAAGGGGAAGTCACGCGTATCAAAGATGAAAATGGAATCACAAATAGAGTAATGCTATTTATTCCCATCGGGGATGAAAACAAAGTCTAGGTGACGTTAATATAGCATTAAATGATGGGTGAAATTAAATAAATTATTAAATTTCACCTTTCATTTAACCTATCATTTAAAACCACCTAAACTGTGTTTTCATCCCCACTGGTGATGAATAACATTACTCTCACAAATAAGAGCAAAATGAACATTGGGAAATGTCAATTGCAATAGGGATGAGCCGGTTGTAATTATATAATTTGACTTTTTTCAAACTTTGAAAATAGCGGAATAAGATATTTTTTTAAATTCCTTCGAACAACGTCCTAATTTGTTAATATGTAACATTATTTAGTACCACTGTGTTAAATTATCAGTTTATGTGACATTAAGTGATACTAAACAATAGTCCTAATTAAATTAGTTTCATTCTCTGATGTTTAATCGAATATGTCACTTAGTAATATACACCAACGCTAAATATCATATTCTTTGTGAGTTAATTCTTCTTATTTTTGGTGTCCCTCAATAAAATCTTAACAAATCGCTACAATTTTAGGTGTCTAGATTTCATAGTTTGCACCTCAAAATTTGCGAATGTCAAGATTTTATTAAGATGACAACAAAAATGAGATAGTAGATCTAAACCTACATAATGTCCTAAAATCATTTGAAACAAAAGGAGAGAAGCTTCTAATATAATTGATTTATTGTTCCTGGTGGATAGGATAAAAACTTCCTATTATTGTTGTGATAAGATAACCTTAATTATTGTATCACCGTTTAAAATATTTTTATCCTGTCCACTGAAAATTGGAGATAGGGATGTAAACGAGTCTAATCGAATCGGCTCTCAAGCTGAAAATGGCCCGAACAAAAATCAAGGCTTAGCTCAGGTCTTACCTAGTCAAGCCGACTCGATTTCTTTAAAAAAATTATTTTTTAAAAGAACTTAGTTATAGTAGGCGAGCTTGCCTGAAGAAATTGCCTGTGACACGGGTTGGCTTAGGATCGGTCTATTGTTCCATCGAGCCGTGAGCCGAGCCGGCTCTGGCTTTTTACTAGCCGAGTTGCGGATCGCCCGAATCGTTGAGCCAAATTGACAAGTACAACATGAGATCGATTAAATAAGTCATTAAATTTCACCTTTCATTTAACCTATCATTTAAAACCACATAAACTGTATTTTCATCCCCACTGGGGATGAATAACATTATTCTCACAAATAAGAGCAAAATGAACATTGGGAAATGTCAGTTGCAATAGGGATAATTTGACTTTTTTCAAACTTTGAAAATAGCTGAATAAGATATTTTTTTTAAATTCCTTCAAACAACGTCCTAATTTGTTAATATGTAACATTATTTAGTACCACTGTGTTAAATTATCAATTTATGTGACATTAAATGAGTTAATTCTTCTTATTTTTGGTGTCCCTCAATAAAATCTTAACAAATCGCTACAATTTTAGGTGTCTAGATTTCATAGTTTGCACCTCAAAATTTGTGAATGTCAAGATTTTATTAAGATGACAACAAAAATGAGATAGTAGATCTAAACCTACATAATGTCCTAAAATCATTTGAAACAAAAGGAGAGAAGCTTCTAATATAATTGATTTATTGTTCCTGGTGGATCGGATAAAAACTTCCTATTATTGATGTGATAAGATAACCTTAATTATTGTATCACCGTTTAAAATATTTTTATCCTGCCCACTGAAAATTGGAGATAGGGATGTAAACGAGTGTAATCGAATCGGCTCTCAAGCTGAAAATGGCCCCAACAAAAATCGAGGCTTAGCTCAGGTCTTACCTAGCCAAGCCGACTCGATTTCTTTAAAAAAATTATTTTTTAAAAGAACTTAGTTATAGTAGGCGAGCTTGCTTGAAGAAATTGCCTGTGACACGGGTTGGCTTAGGATCGGTCTATCGTTCCATCGAGCCTTGAGCCGAGCCGGCTCTGGCTTTTTACTAGCCGAGTTGCGGATCGCCCGAATCGTTGAGCCGAATTGACAAGTACAACATGAGATCGGGCTAAGCTTCTGTATTGGCATAATTGAAAACTATTTTAGCTTATAATTAATTATTGTTTGGACTTATTTATAGTCCATATTGAGCACAAACCAAAAAGATTGACTTAATTGTAATCTGAGCCATGATATACTTGACTTTATGTGTTTTTTTATTATTTTAGGAGAAAACTCGGAATTGGAGGAGAATGGATGAAAATGAGCAATAATTGATTAAAAAATGAGAGAAGTTAGACATATCTTGGAAGTTAGGGACCAATGAGTCACATGTAAAAGCTGAAGGATCTCAATTGAAATATTTAATGACTCAATTTGAATTAAAAAAGGAAACAGAGACCAAATTGCACAAGAAAATAATAAATATCGGTAATTTGTGATACAAAAATGCTACTTGTACACATTTGATACAGAATCTCCTCCACAACCCTCTCACGTGTGTATGGGGTCCACAATGTGGGCTCATTGTGGACCCCACACATGTGATATCCTATTGGGACTAAAATGATTGCCCATTGTGGACCCCACACATGTGATATCCTATTGGGACTAAAATGATTGTTCCCTATCATCTTGGACTCTATTTTAGACCTGATTAATATGAATATATTCATTCAAAATTAGGGAACGTTAGGAATACAATTTTAAGACAAAATTACACATCAAAATATATTGAATATCTCAAATATAAAATTTGATGTTAGAAGTACACAATTGATTAATAAATAATTATTGAAAAGTCCTTAAAATTTTGCTCTACATGTTTCGATCATTATTTCGAATTATTGGCACTGAATTTGTTGTACAAGTTTGAATCTTCTTACTTTGCTTAACTGCCCATTCCATTACGTCGAATAACTTCCCCGCCCCGATTATTAAAGATTTTGAGATTTTGATTCTTCTAGAAATCTTTTTTTTTATTATTATTTTCTTTTCTTGGAAGCAATATAAATAAAAATATTTAAGTGTGTGTTTGATTGCATTTATTTTTCATGGAAAATGTCAGTTTTTCACCCAAATTTCCACTCTGTGATGTTTTTTTGCTATTTTTTTTTCTATTGAAAATATTTTCCAACTTTTGAAAATATGCCTAATTTTTCTTGTTTTTAAGGAAAACATTTTCTTCGGGGGGTATATTTTTGTTTTTCTCAAAATAACAAAAATATTTTCCATACCAATCAAACACAGGATGTGAAAGAGAAATATTATTGACTTTTTGGTGACTTGCCATTACAACTACCGATTAATTAAAGTCGTTTGTTTGTTTGTTTTCTCCAACTAAACAACCGAATATCTATTGCAAATGGTTACCAAGAAATGGTTAAGAAAGAGACGAAATCATTATAGTAATTTCCCAGTAAAAAAACAGACTAGTTCTACTTTGGCTAGACTATTTGAAAATTCTAAATCTTTTAAATGAATTGGAAGTGGTTTTCAAAGTTAAATTCCAATTATGGGTCTTACTAATATTGGATTATTAATCACATTGAATTTAGACCGTACAATCTCAATCATAATAATAGTATAAAATCTTGTTCATCGTCGTTCATTAGAGCTCGTGCATCACCAGTCCAGATCGTAGGCAAGCACACGTCGACCATCCTCACATGTGCGTACGAGTGAATCTTCATACGTTATTAATCTTATATTTATCTTATTACGTGAGTTACATCTTTTTAACATTTTTTAGTATTCTTCATTTCCAAAAATAATCTTGACCAACAACATCTTATGAAGATATTTTTATAATTAGAGGTCTCAGCTGAAATTTCACTCACCAAAAACTCATCAAAGCTCACTAGAAGGCATTATATAATAGGCAACTCCTCGAAATATCAATTCTATATTTCAATTTGAAAATATGAAACCATGCCCTGTTTGTTACATATTTTATAGAACTAATTTTCAATCATAAATTCTCCTATAAAATAACTTTGGACATGAATTCATAATTTTCCTCTATTTTTAAAATGTATATATTTTTTAAAAAATATTTTTCACAAAATTTGTTCTTAAAAATACAAGTCAAACATGTTCTATATGTCAGGCAAAGTTCCAACCCTATATGCAATATGACTTTCAATTTCGGCTCAGGTGATAGGCCTTTGGAGTTTGAACAAGTAAGAT